AGGGAACAGGAAAAGTATAAACTTCATCCTCTCCTTTTCAAGCAAACACACATTCTGTAGACTAGATATATACATGAAAACTTGATTTTTAAGTATTGTGTTTTTTCCTCATCATTTCAATTATATTAGCATGTTCGAAAAAAAAAAAATTCTATCTACCTACTAGGGGTGCAACAATACTCGTATCGGTATTGAACCGTTGATACAGTGCTTTCGGTTCGGTACGCATATGTATCGAACAATACAAAATTTTTAATTTATTTTATCAACTTTTCTTCTGACGATGCTGTCTGTGTTGAGAGCTCAGTGGATCTGCGTTCGACTACTCCGCCTAGGCTGCACTGTCGAGCGCAGATCCACTGAGCAGCAGCGCAAGCTAGCACAGAAGTAAGCTCGTTGCAACATGGCAACTGCCTCAACGCTAGCCCGAAATTGAACCTCCCCCACCCTCATTCAGATCTGGCGTTTGGTAACTATTTTGGTTTTCATGTGAAGCATGACCCTGATGGTAAGCGCGTCATGGACAAAAGTAAAACAGTATGTCGGATGTGCCACGCAATGCTCAATTACATTGGTGGGAACTAGCGCGTTAGTGCAGTTAGCTCATTAACGTGTTGACGCCCAAGCCTTCCAAACTAGCGAACACACGGAAAGAAGAAATATGAAAACTGTTTCTGCTAGAAGTGGACAGGATGAGCACCCTCGGCCTCATATACAAAGAATGTTTCACTTGAAAGCAACCGATATAGAAAGATATATATAAATCTTATAAAGTTTGTATCTGTCTTGTGTGAAACTTGTATGAAAAGCATACAAGAGTAGAAACAGATATAAGATCTCTAGAATTATATAAATGAAACTTTAACTGTTTTGGATACTTACTAAAACAATATACGAAAGTGGCCACTTTCATGAGTAAATCATATAAGCCTTATATGATTCACTATATGAAGCAGGCCACATCTGATGCAAGTCTTTTATAAGTTTTTTTTTTCTATTTCTTTTCCATATGGGAATACAAAAGAACAGCTATATAACGCAGTGTCTTCAGTGTGAGCCAAAACAAACCAACATTTCAGCGTGAAGAAAACTCAACTCATCTAACCTGAGGAAACACGTTGCTGTAAGTTTACTCTAAATTCCTTTTTAGCTGTGGTTTGGTCGATGTCAGTCTTATGTTATAGCAGCTGTGTTGAGCTCGATTCCTCGAGGGTCAACTTTTTGATTCCCTAGTCCAACACACATGAATTAAATGGCTGAATTGCTACATCAGCATCCAGTCAAGTACTGTAGTATTGCTAATGACCTAATAATTTTATTCTGGAGTGTTGGGGTGAGGACATGTCTTGGGCCTTGTCCACCTCTCCATGTCCGTCACATGACTGCAAGGATTTGGAGGCGGGTTTCCTCATGCCCTGAGTTTGATCAAACTAGAATCACATCATATTTTGTCAAGTGTCCGCCAAAGCGCTGAAGAGAAGGATGGTATAATAAAAAATAAAAAATAAAAAAAAAAATTAAAATAGATAAGATGAAAACATTATAGAAAATATTGTGACACATCAATATATGTTTGTAAAAATATATGTGTAGATGCGAATATGCACATACATATACAAAAGTGTACACAATCACACACACTAGCACAAATATGTGACCATAAAATACGTGTACATCATCCAATGAGACAAAAAACTAGAATAGCTAAAACAGAATAAAAGTGGTGTCAGAGAGATCCGAAAGCCTTGGAAAATAAGTAGGGAATCAGATTTGATTTTAAGATTTCCAAGGAGGAAGAGGATTTTATAAAAGATGAAAGACTGTTCCAGAGTCTCATGGCAGCAATGGAGAAAGCCCTGTCACCTCTAGATTTGCAACGGTAGGCATATTGTAGCAGATAATTAAAAGGGGAATCATAGTTTCTTCATTTATTCACACAACAGGTTAAACCATGTTAGCCAGCATGCCACAAGGCCACAAATTACAGCCCAATGCCAGAAAAGTAGCTGTGATTACCTGCCTGGCACTGTGCACACCGTCGGCATCTTGAGAAGGCAGATACTTGAATGCAGTGACCAGCCAAACAGTAGTACATGCAGAGGGCAGCAAGGGCTCGCGTTAGGCTGGTGAGTCAGGCGTGGAGTGGACTCTATATTTAAACTATAATGACACTCCTGGAACATCAGCATCTGTTCTCTGGGAAGCAGGGAAAGCTGTGATGAGAGGTCAAATAATTTCTTTCTCATCACAGAAAAAGGAGGAGGAAAACAATTCAGGAACTAGAAAAACCCCCCCACATCAAATCCTTAGAAGAAGCCTACGCAAAACAAAACAAGAATTAAATGAAATTATTGATAAACCTCTGATGGAGATGAGACGGCTGAGCAGGGGGCCGAGCTGATAACTGGGCAGCTGACTGAGCTAAGATGAGCGAGAGCAGTCTCAGGAAAAGCAATCTTAATGACAGCCACTGTCCTCACTTGC